ACACACACACACACACACACACACATGCATACATGCAGGCAAATACTCATACATATAAAAATATCTTTACAAAAAGAAACATGGGGGTTGAGGAGATGACTTAGTGGTTAAGAGCACTGGCTGCTCTTCCAGAGGACCCAGTTTCAATTCTTAACATCCACATGGCAGCTCACAACTATCTGTAACTCCAGTTACAACCCTCACACAGATATACATGCAGGCAAAACACTACTGCACATGAAATAAAAATAAATTGAAAGAAAAAAACATGCTTTAATAACTCATATGCCAAGTTGGAAACATCTTAGAAAATAGGCAATCTTTAAAAAGATCTGAAATTGGCAATGGTGGTGATCTCCTTTTCCTTCCACCTGGAAAGCTACAGACAGCCATCAGTGCTATTAGAAAATTAGATGAGAGACCAGTGTAATGGCATACACCTAATTACCCCAGCATTCAGGCGGTAGAAGCAGGATTGCCACAAATTTGAAGCCCACCTGAGCTATATATAGTGAGTATTACACCAGCCAGGGATACATAGCAAGAGCCTGTCTCACCCCCAAATCTCCTTCCCAAAATAAGTTAGATTCATCAGTAATATTTTCCATTTCAAACCATCTGTTTTTTTGTCTTTTGTTTGGAACATCACAGGAGAAAAGAGGAAAATGAACCACTCTCATGCTCCAGAGGAAGCCAAGAGATCCTGAGTGATGGGGGATATTCCTGTGGAATTGATCAATGAGGTTATGTCTACCATCACAGATCCTGCAGTGATGCTTGGACCAGAGGTTAGCAGGGTGAACCAAGCAGGCAGTTGGGAAAGCCCTTCTGGTCTCCCTACCACACCAGCTGTCAGAGATGAGGGTGGGGTGCTGAGAATGCACTGCTAGTTACCTGTAACTAGAGGTTACTGTGGGGAGGACAGGAATGGCTAACTAAGATATGGTTCCCCCCTTGATGAATATCAATTACAGGGCCACAAACTACAGTTTCAAGTAGTTGGAAACCTTTCCATCTTGAAGAGTTTCAAACCTCCATCAGTAATGCAAAAGTCTATGATAAAAATCCATGGACTTTACCTAGAGATTCAGTGGTGATCACATGCCATTTCTCTTTGTTTACCTCCTTTTTTCTCTCGTGGACCTTTTAGAATCAGTTCAGCATTCCAAACAGATATAATAAATACCTCACACCTAATGCATCTCCTCTGTCTTAGACGAAAGCAATTCTCTTGTATAATCACATGAGTTAGCACTTAGTAAATTTAGCTTTGTTACAAGCTTCTCTAGTTTAGGATTGGCAGATAGTAGTGTATCAGTCGGATCTGCTATTCAGCTTATGGGCTGAAGTAATTTTTCTCCCTTGGCCTACCAACTAGCTAGGAATAAAGGTGTGTCCCAGCAGGCTACGCTGCTAACAGTTCTCATGGACTGTGTTATCTGTACACCATTGCACATAGCAGAAAAATTTGACAATTGAGGCTTGGAATGTATGTCTTGCAAAATGTTCATCACTTAACTTTTCACAGAAAAGTTTGCTGACCTGTGGCCTAATATGCAATCTATATCTAATGACCATCTTACCAATTTATGCCATTCATGACATTTATTATTATTATTATTGTTGTTGTTGGAGGCTCAGTTAGAACCTGAGCATGGAATTTAGTTTTCATTCTTTCATCTCTTTAGTGTCTTTTTTTTTTTTTTTTTGGACAGGCGTCATTCAGTAGGCTAATCTTGGAGTCACTATATAGCCAGGATGAATGACCTTGAACCACCACGCTAGGTTCATGTGGTGCTGGGGATCAAATCCAGGGTTTCCTGCATGCCTGGCAAGCACCTTACCTCTGAGCCATATCCCAGTCTCTTTAGTCTGCTTTAACCCCAAACAGCACTCCAGGCCCTTCCTCTTCTCTTGCAGTGCTGCCTTTGTTGTGGAGGCTTGTTGGCTAGTTCTGCATAATGTATCTGTTTGGATCTGTGTAATAGTTTAGGTCAACCCAGGTAAAACATTTTTGTTGAAAGTACTGCTGGCATCTTACGGCAAGACATCCAGGAACAGGGAGGTTCAAGACATTTCCAGGAAATGAAGACATGGCCTGAGAGGTAGTTTATAAACAACTTCTGTCTTTTCAGTGTGGCTCTGCTAGATTAAATCAATAAGTTTTACACTGCTCTGTTTCTGAGGTTCTTTATCAATGTCAAGCATAATTCAGAGAACTGAGTGTTGCAACAGAACCATCTCTTAAAATTCTTCTTTCCTTCTGGAGTATCCAGGCTGTGGGGACCTAAAGCTGAGTTCCCTTTGTGTATGTGCTTTAAGGTTTTTGTAACTTTTCACGTGAGCAGAGCTTGGTCTGCTCAGATGTAAAGTGGGGAGGCATCTCACAATCTGTTGCTACAGTTAGTAGTGTACTGGCATGCCCAAGAAAGCTGGACATTTCAGATGTCTTTGCAAGCTGGTTGTTAAATATCTTGGTAGCTTGTACCACAGTGATAGCTGGTCACCTGGACAACCAGCTGGAGCCCTCAAAGCTAGTGCTACAGTTAGGACTTTTCTTCCCAGCAGAACCGTCAAAAATTTCCTTGCCCAACATGGAGTGGATTAAAGCATGAGGTCCTGGCACTAGGCCGTGCAGCATGCTATGAGTTAAGTCAGGATCAATAAAGAAAACTGTCTTCCAAAAAGAAGTGCTAAGACTATAAATATGACTGCTGCTTTATAGTGTATTTCAAGATTTGGGACTTGTTATCTTAATGGGCTGTAATTTTTCATTATTATTGCTACTCTATTATTATGTTATGTGAAAGAGTCACTCCACAGGCATGGAGGTCAGAGGACAACTTTCATGAGTCAGTTCTTTCCTTCAGTTTTGGATTCTGGGCATCAGATTGAAGTTATCAGGCTAATACAGTGATAAACCATCTTACTGGTTCTCTATTTAATGTGTTTGTGTGTCTGTGCACTTGTAGGAATACGTGTGCCGTGGTATGTGTGTGGAGGTTAGGGGCCATAGGAAGGAATTGTTTCTCTCCTTCCATCAGATGGGTCTTGGTTCATGTGATGGCTATTCTTGGTTGTCAACTTGACTATATCTGGAATGAACTACAACCCAGGATGGAGAGCACAACTGTGAAAGATTTTCTACATGGTTTAAAGTGCATAAATCTACTTCTAGTCCAGACCTTTCAGGTAGGAAGACACCCCTCTGCTCTGGATCTTTAGGCATGGAAACATGCCTTTGAACTAATATTGAGGTGGATAGGCACACCTTTAATCTGGGCCACACCTTCTGTTGGAAGCCTATATAAGGACATGGAAAAAGGTAAGTTTTGTTCTTTGCGTGTTTGCCTTCACCTTGTTAGCACATCCATTTCCTCACTGGCATGGAGCCTACTTTTTTGGTATTCCAGCATATACAGAAGACCAGCTGAGACATCCAACCTTGTGGGACTGAGCAACTACTAGATTCTTTGACTTTCTGTTCACAGCTAGCTATTGTTAGATTGTAAGTCATTCCAATAAATTCCCATATATATGTATACACACACACACACACACACACACACACACACACACACACACACACACACACACAGAGAGAGAGAGAGAAAGAGAGAGAGAGAGAGTGATTCATCCATAAGTTCTGTGACTCTAGAAAACCCTGACAAATACAGATTTTGGTATGAGAAGTATGAGGAAGAAGTATACAAATCTTTTAAGTATCTGGGATAGGCTTTTCAATTCTCTAGCACCTTTGGTTACTGAAGCCACTCCCTTTCCTGGGAGCTCAGAGAGTACTGAAAGCTCATGGTGTGAACTGTATTACAAACTTAAAGAGATAAATGCATTTGATTATCTTGATTCACCAATTGTGAATGGCAATAGATTTGATGACCCTGTATGTGAAACTTTTGACAGTTTGGGGGAAAATAATGAAAATGATGCTGCTGGTTGGTTGCTTTTAGCATCTCTATATAAACTGATAAAGGAGAGGAATGAACTCTGAGATAAAAATTAACCAACTTCAGAATATGGTGAAAAACAACAAAGAACTTAGTGATAAAATTGACCGGATATTCTGTGTAAAACCTAATTTTCTACAGTGGGAACTATTCTCCCTTTGAAAGACAGCTCTTGGTCTGCTACTGGGCCTTGGTGGAAACTGAACATTTGACAGTGTGCCACCAAGTACTATGCAACCTGAGCTGTGTTATCCGACCAAGTATAACCAAGTCATAAAGTAGGACATGCACAGTTGCAATTCATTATCAAATGGAAGTGGTATATATGAGATTGGGCACGAGCAGGTTCTGAAGGCACAAGCAAGCTACATGAAGAAGTTGCCCAAATGCATATGATTTCTATTCCTGTTGCAAGGCTGTCTGCTGCCAAATTTGCATCTATAGCCTCATGGGTGTTCCTTATGGACAGTTGACTAATAAAGAGAGGACTAGGGCCTGGTTTATTGATGGTTCTACAAAAGTAGCCGGCACCACCCAGAAGTGGACAGCTACACCATTACAATCCCTTTCTGGGACAACCCTGAAAGACACTGTTGAAGGGAAATATTTACAGTGGGCAAAACTTTGGGTAGTACATATGGTATTACAGTTTGTTTCAAAGGAGAAATGGCCAGATGTGTGATTGTTCACTGATTCATGGGCTGTAGCCAATGGCTTGGCTGGACAATCAGGGACTTGGAAGGAGCATGATTGCAAAACTGGTGAGAAAGCCATCTGGGGAAGAAGTATGTGGACAGATCTCTTCAAATAGGTGAAGGATGTGAAGATACTTGTGTCCTGTGTAAATGCCCATCAAAAGGTCACTTCAGTTGAGGAGGCATTCAATAATCAAGTAGATAGGAAGACCTATTCTGTGGATGTGGGACTGGCCTGAAGCTAAGAAGGGGTCTGAAGCTAAGAAGGGGTTCAAGGCATGCCTAAAAGCCCTGGATTTTCTCATCCTGAGAGTGGTAGGAGTTTGGCTGATCCTCTGCCTTGCTCAGAGGGCAGCAGACCCCAGCAGTTAGGCTTCCCCTAGTGTAGACATGCTCCGATGCACATAGCAAGCTCTTACATTTCCAAGGCTACAGGGACTGGTTGCTGCTGACCGCTGAAACATTCCAGGCTATGCTCCCTATGACCTTATAAGGTCCCCCCCCCCCCCGTTGCCTTTAAGTATGCAAATGAAGCACCTTCAGTGTTTTTGCCCCAACCAATAACATACCAGCACATGAATCCAACCAGCCACTCTTCCTAGGGTATGTGTCCCTTGCCCCCTCCAAATAAACAAATTGTCCACTGACACAGCCTCCCAGGTGGTTTTTCTCCCTATGTACTCATAGCCACTTGGGATCTGCCTTTGGCCCCACCTGTGCTCAGGCCGTTTCCCCTACCCATGTCAGTCTGATCCTCACTAGTCCAACCATGCTGGGACCAAGTAGGCCTCACCATCCCAGTATGTGGATAGTTGGCCTTTTTACCCAGCCATTTCTGTCATTGCCCAGTGGGTCCATGAACAAAGTGGCCATGGTGGCAGAGATGGGGGCATGTGTGTGCTCAACAACAAGGACTTCCATTTACCAAGGCTGACTTGGTTAGAGCTACTGCTGAGTGCCAGATCTGCCAGTAGCAGAGACCAGACAAAACCAAGCCCCAGGTATAGTGCTATTCCTTTGGTGACCAGCCAGCAACCTGGGGGTAGGTTGATTACATTGGACCACTTCTTTCATGGAAAGAATAACTCTTTGTCTTTATTGGATTAGATACTTATTCTGGTAATGGAT